TGTGTATGATTTAACAGTTCATTTCTTGTTATATATCTAATTATCTTTATAAATAAATATATTAAATTATCAGCAACTTGGTTTTATCTCTCTAGAGAACCCTGTCTAACACACCTAGGAACCATCGGTCTGTTGTTTTCTCCTCCAGATTGTTTATCCCGCCTAGTTTATCTAGATAGACCTGGTCTCTTTTTTCATTTTGAATTTTCTTCCCTGTTTTCTCCAACTTTACCCAGCGCCTTTAATGGATCCTTTGCAGAGCAGTTGCTAGTGATGACTGAACACCACCTAGTTCTTCTCGTCTGAAGGTCTTGGAGGTTGATGTTGGCAGGGTCTGTGAGTCTGTCTGCTGGGCCACTTGTTTTCAGATGTCTTTCCTTCCCATCCCTCTTCTGTCCTCAGACAAGGAGCCCCACTGAGCCCGAGATGTCTGCTCATGAGCTTTTAAGGCCCCAGTTGCTCCTCATTAAAGCAGGAGCTAGCTCATTCTTTTTTTTTTGCCAATGGAATGGACCGTTTAATTGTCTTTGGGCGCTCCCCTGACAGGGATTGCAGGGCCTTTGGCAGAGCCCTGACTGCTGGCACCAACATAAGTGCCTGCTGGCCAGTACAGGCCGCCTCAGGCCTGGCTGGGGTAGCTAGCTAGCCCTGGGGCTGTGGTTGAAGACTAGTGGATTCGGAATGTTGCCTTTGAGTGAGAAGAGGGGCTATGGTTAGAGGGGAGGAGGGGCCTGGGCTGGGGGAAGGGTGCCAAAGTCAGAAGGTTAGGAATGACATAACTGGTCACAAGGCCCTTCACAGCGGGCGGTGCCGGTGGGGCCAGGACTGGGGAGTGTGCCTGCGGGAGCCAGGGGCGGAGGTGGACAGTGGCTGGCTTGGCTCAAGGCAGCTTCAGGAACTCCTGCCGTGTGTTCTGCTCCCCAGCCTCCACAAAGAGCTCATAGTCCCCACAGTACTGGTCCCCGTTGACAATCTGGGGTGGGGTGGCCTTGGAGTTGCCCGCCAAGGTTCGCATCTCTTCCCGCAGGGCGTTGTCCTGGGAGATGTCCACTAGCTGGTACTGGATACGCATTCCATCCAGGATTCGCATCACCTCACTCTGCCGGGACTTGATTTTGCGGGAGCCGGTGATTGAAGTGCTGTAGACTCGCAGGCCACACATGCTCCTGCTGGTGGGAGGATGGGGGGGGGGGGTCCCGACAGCGGCAGCACGGCTGAGGAGACGACCCTAGATCATTCTTTGTGGGCTGTCATGCCAATTGACCTTGGTATCCCAGAGACTGGCCTTTGGGATGATGTGTCTGTCTATAAAGTACTCGAGGCAAAATCACACCATCCTTGATTAGGAAGAGCATAGGGCCTATACTGCCTTCAAAATTGGTGCTCCTTCTCCTAGCGGCCCCTTGGAGCCCTCCTGGTGTAGTGGTTACCTGTTGCGTGGCTAACTGCAAGGTCAGAAGTTGGAAACCACTGTTGGTCACTCCTCTGGAGAAAGAAAAGATTTTCTACTCTTGTAAAGAGTGACAATCTTGGAAATCCACAAGAGTTCTATCCTGTCCTTAGGGTCCCGGTGAATCAGAACTGACTCATTATAAAATACATGATGGAGGTGTCCTGGTGGTGGTCTGGGTTACAGGTCTGCCAGCTAAGCAAAAAGTTTGCAGTTCAAGCCTACCGGCTGCCAGGAAGAAGATGTAGCAGCCTCTTGCAGTTTATGGTAGCCAATGGGGGGGAGGGGAGGAAAGGGGAGGAGCGAAATTGACCACCACCCGCGGGGTGGAGCATCCTTTCCTGTGCTGGTTCTGACTGGCACATCTTTGCCCCTGCACACTCTGAAGCCTCTCTAACAAGGAAGACCCCTCTAAGGAGGAAGACCCTCTAAGGAGGAGGTAGGCGCTTGCTTCCCACCGCTGCTGCCCCTTCGCGGTGGCCCCGGGGAGTTTTCCGGAAGGCGCAGCTGCGGCAGGCCGCCCGGTTTCACTTTGAGTTTGAGCAAGTCCGCTTTGGAGTCTTGGGCCCCGCACCTCCGACTCGTCTCCGCTGCTGGCCTGGCTTCATTCCGCGCGCCGGACTCTCTGGGGCACTTCTGTGGAGGTGAGCCTGCCACTCCCCACCCCCTACCCCCCACCCCGACCTCCAGAGGGCTCAGGGTGGGGGTGGAGTGGGAATGGAGGGCGGAGGCGGGGCGGTTGAACTTGGACTGCCCCTCCGCTGGGGACAGGCGAGGCGGGGCCGGGCTGAGAGCCATCGCTCTAGGCACGGGTCTGGTGGGCTCTCCGGAGAGGCTCAGGCTTCTTTGGGGAGGCAAGCGCCGCCTCCCTATGCGGTGGCCAGGGCTCCTGGACAATCCTACGTGGACCACCGATGCTTTCTGGAAACCAGTGCGGTGAGCAGGTGGCTCGTGAACCACCCAGAAGGCTCTGAGAACAGGCTGGGCCAGTGCACTCCCAGCCCTCAGCCCTCCTCGCTGGCCCTGCCTACCTCCTGACTGGCCCTCAGCTACAGGTTGCCCCCTGGGACTGAGAGGGAGGAGCCTCGTGGGGGCTGTGTCTCTGGTTCTGGGGTGTCCTGCAGGCACTCTGGTCCCGTCTGGCACACCCAGTGTGAGTGGCAGTGTCTGGTGGGTCCTGCTGAGAGCTATAAGCACCCTGGCTCCAAGGCGCAGTGGAGAGGGCCAACTGGCTGGGCACATCCTATGCTAGGCGGTGGCCGGTCACTGGGCACTGCTGGTCAGCGTGACCCAGGGCTGCTGGGCAGGGCTGTTTTGGAGAGAAAGTGCTCCCCATCGCAGGAGGCATCCAAGGAATAGGCTGCTGCTCTGCCTGAAGTCTCCCTGCTTAGGGCATGCCGTCAGCCTTTGAGGGCGTAGCCCGAAGCGTGCTCCTGGAGCTGGACCGCCATGGGGACCTCATTCCTGTGGACAGCCTGCGGAACGCCACCAGCTTCCAGCCCTACTGCCTGCTAAGCAGGAAACCCTCCACCTCCTGGTTCTGGAAGTCGCGCTACGAGGCTGTCAATCTCTCCATCCGGGACATACTAGAGCCCGACGGCCCCGAACCAGGTACCTGATCGGAAGCCGAGGCCGAGAACTCCGGGCTGGGCCAGATGGGAGTGGGGAGGGCGCGGGGCCCTTCCCGAAGGCCACGCGCGCGCAGGGCCCAGTGTCTAGCGTCCCAGGGACAGGCAGGAGGTGACGGACTGCAGCCCTGCTCCCGCTCCAGAGTTGCAGCGCGGGGGCCCCTTCCACTTCCACGACACGGTGGATGGGCAGCTGCATGGCAGCGTGGAGCTGAGCAGCCTTGGCCAGGGCAAGATCTCGGGCGGGGCCACTGTGTCCGGGAGCTCCAGCGCCTCCATGGAAGTGTGCTCGCTGCGCGTCGATCCCAGCGTCTGGGGGGTCCTACAAAAGGAAAGGTGAGCCTCAAAGCAGCCCCTGAGGGTCGGGTCGTTCACGGGGTCTGAAGCCCAACCAGCACAGACCCGGCGGAGGTGGGCACTGGCTCAGTGCAGGGGGAGGGAGCTCCGAGGGGGAGTTTGTGCACCTGTGCACCAGGAGGCCGCGGCTGCGTGTGGGGACCGAGCTGAGGAGGCAGGCGGGGGCGTGGCCCAAGAGGAGGAGGCAGGCGGGGGCGTGGCCCAAGAGGAGG